TATTCCTGTTTTTAACCACTTCTCACATGCATCATTTTTGGCGGGGGAGAGAGGATATGCCTTTGCATTGGGAGGAAGATCGTTAGGATCCTTGAGGTCTACCTTATGATCCCACTTTTTAGACTCAGGGAATCGAGTAGACTCTTCTTTGGAGAAAACTTTAAGATAGTCATGGAGCCAGTCTGGCACCATTTCCTCTACGGGCTTCTTTTCCTTCTTCTTTTCCTCCTGCTGCGCTAACTCTGATGCCACCGAACTCTTGTACCTGATCCACACATTCTGTGATGAATCCTCATCCTTGACTTCCTCGATCTGCACCTTCTGACCAACAGTAGTAGCAAGGTCTGATTGTTCTTCATCCTCAAGCCTGGCAGGTATAGTACCCACATGTCCGTACATTTTAGAGCTGAGGCTGTTCAACTGAACCCGATGATGGATAGAGGCTTCCTCAATATCCTCATCTTTGTCATCTTCTGTCGGTATCAAATCGGGCAACACCGGAAGGATCGAACAGTTCATGGCTGTTCGCTTCTTCACCTTGGTCTTTTTGTCCTTGACCTTGGTTTCTTGACATTTAACTGGGCAACGGTCTAATGACACCTTCCCTGCATTCCAATCGATACTGGGGTTGTGGAATCGTAACCAATCTATTCCAATGATAACATCATTGGATCCTAGGTCTGTGACCAGAAAGGCTACTTCTTCCTCATGATCCCCTATGGTAAGCTTCAAGTCTGCGTAATGCATAATTGGTCCGGCGGAATTGTCTGTTTCGTCAATGTTACGGATCGACATTGGTCGCAACAACTGCTTAATCTGAACTTGATTTTTTTCTACGAATTTTTTGCTGAGGAAAAGGTTCGTTGCTCCACAATCCACTAGAGCATTGACAGCTGCTTTCTTGTGTTTCCCTTCCAACGTAACTGGCAAGTAGAAATGGTCTCGTTTATTTCCAGAACAAACTTCTGATACTTCTGCAAACATAATTGCCGAGTCACTGAGAATGGAAAAACAATTTCTTTGATCTAAGTCTGCAGTTGACTTCGATCTCCCTAAAAACCCTTCTGCTCCTCTTTCTTTGCAGGGTTGTACATAGTGGAGAGGCAGATGCGCTCGTTCACGATGCGGTTAATATCTTCCAGGGTGAGTGCTTTCACTGCTGGAACTTCTTCCACCTTGCCAGCATGGACAGCTGGTCCCTTGCCTTTTGGGTCAAGGGGCTTTCCCGTGCAGTTATGGGCCATATGCCCTTCTTCTCCGCAGCGATAGCAAATGAATTTTGCTCCCTGTTGTCCTTGAGGCCGGGGTCTGCCTCCTGCTCTGGTTGCATCTACATCCATGGTGTTTCCTCCCTGCGATGTAGTCTTGGGTGCTCCAGCTGGTGCGGGTGGAACAGCGGAGCCTTGCCAAGGTTGTCATTGTGCGAAGCTCATCTTCCTCTCGTCGTCAAGCTCCTCGAGGTTCTGTCCGACTAGGAGCACCTCCCTGATCAATCCCTCCAGGGTGTCTTTCCTGTTAGGGTGGATGTTGGCCAGGTAGTTTTTGACTCACTGGTCCAATCCATGGCGGACTTTGCGCATTAACTCGTAGTCAGAGAAGTGACAGAAGGCAAGCTTCTGATGGAAGAGGGAGATATATTCTCCGACGGTACGATTGCCTTGTCAGAGAGCTTCCAACTCTCTTGCTGCCTTCTCCTCCTTGTTGACAACGGTCCACATGACCTTCATGTCCTTGATGATGCTGTCGTAGGACCCAGGATGGCCGCTGAGCGCCATAGGGGTAACACTCTCTGCCCACTTCGCTGCTGCTCCACGACAAAAGGAGACAAGACAGGTGCATTTCTGCTGCTCTGTTGCTCCTGGGTAACCTGTGAAATAGATGGCAAGCTGGGTGAGGAAGGTGTCAATGTCAATGGAGTTCTTATCCCCTGTGAAGTCCATAGGTTTCGCCATCTTGATATCAGAGCCTGAAGTCCCAGATGTAGCACCTGGGATCTTCGTCGTAGGTAAGTTCTGCAAAACCGTGATATGGCCCTCTGCAACCGTCAAGGAGTTTTCCAGATCCCTCACCCTGATCTTCAGGTAGTCGATCTCATCGTCCGCATGTACCAGACCTGCTTGCAGCTCATCAATCTCCTTCTGTAGACCGTCTATGAACTGCCTGGTGTACTCTCTTTCTGTTACGACGACAGCGTTGATTGCGTGCGAAATGTCCTGATGGGTGATGATACTCGACCCGGGCCCGGAGATGCCGAAGGGTGCAGAAGGGCCTGCGGTTGGGGTGGTGGATGATTCTGCAGGTGCTAATGGGCCTAATGGGTTTCTCCATCCTTGCGGGGCCGGAGAGTGGATTACTCCCCTTGGTGGAGTCGCTACTCTTGGTACAGCTGGGGGAGCGTCTGTCACTTCCATATCCTCGGAAACGACGATCCCAGTTTCTCCTAGATTCTCGGACATGGAAGAATCTACAAGAGGAATCCAAACAGGAAACAGTGTGGAGTGCGAGTTCTCTGGCCGCAACTAGGTGGGATCTGTATGGCGGAGCCATGATAACAAAGGTGCGAATGCAGCACATGTAGCGGTTCGTCAACCTAAAAGAACTCGAGAGGAGTTCACGAAGGACGCGGTGAACTTTGGGTCTACTTTTAGCACCCTAGGTTCCTATCATAAAGTATTTAGACAGTGAGAGGACTGTCGCGAGTGCCGTTCTGTTACGTAGAAAGCAGATATTGTAGCGTACAGTTGGCAGGGTTTTGGGCCTAACTGTAGACGTGTGGAAACAGGACCTAAAGTCACTGATCCTTATGAACTGGCGGCTCGTAGTAAGACGAGGGCCTGGTTCACTTCTACTAAAGACTAATGTAAAGAGATTGAGATACTGAAACACGTTGGGGAAATGATGATTGAACAAAAAACGTAATCCGCGAGAATATTCTCAAGCAGAATAGCACGGTGAAGTTCGTCGAGGACGTTGGGGTCCAAGACAAAGTTCGAGTCGGAGTGGTAAGAGAGACTTAACCTAATGTTATGACCAACGTTCACTAATAATGATGAAGGCGAGTTCACAACCACTAGGACTTGGTCAAAGATGATGAGGAACAGGATAGTATTGAGCGTGAACGTCTAAGTCACTACAATAGTAGGAAATGAAGAGGTTAAGTCTAAGGAGTACTTACGCTACCTAGCCTATTCTTATACATAACATTGAATAGGAGTCTGAAAGAAATCAGCCAATGAGAAAAGAGTCATATGATACTGCAGATTACTAAGTATGACATCATGATATATAAGCGAATGAGTAAGACAGCGACTAAACAGAAACCCAAGTTCCGACCAGTTCTTCTTTGGGAAGCGAGATTGTTCTAGCCCGTGGAGTAGGGGAGCCAATCGGAGAAACCACAGGTGATATGTGAAGAGGTGAAGGTGTGACAGGGTGAGAAGTCACGTGACCAGTTCGGGTACTGGAAGTAGCCGAAGGAAAACCGAGAAATGAAAAATGGTTCATATTAGGAATTCGTGACATTTATCATGCAGCGCATCTAATTCCAATTTATGGTGCACAGTCTGTTTCCTATGACCTCAAGTATTATCAGTCTTATGATATGTTTCGAGCATACTATGTGAATAAGTACACAGATCACCATGCCTTTGAGATTGCTTTCTAATTCTCTCAACACTTTTTCGAGCTTTATTATTTGTTGGTACTTAGCGCACAATGACATCCCTTTCTGCATCTTTTTCATCTTACCCGCCGAGGCCATAGTGTCATATTTATTGATACAAGCCTGGGGATTGTAGAACACTATGTATCCAGTCCCAGCAAATTATGCATACAGGCTTCTTTGTATCAATACCAGCACTGGGACACTATTGAACTTCTTTGGCTGATCCTCATGTCCCAATTTGGGTAGAGTTTCCCATCTATTCTTGCTGGCTATATTAATCCATCAACTAAAAATAGGTTGTCTGCATCAGTTCCTCTTAGTTCTTGCTGCTTCTCCACCCATAAATATCCCACCCCTCCATTCTTGGTTCTTGCAGGCTATATTAATACATCAACTAAATTAACCGCAATTTTGGCTTCCAAAAGCGGAAATTCACAACACACATCACATGTTCGCACTTTTCAGCCACACAGTGTGGGAATTACCCCACAACACCAAAAACATCGCCCATTTTGGGAATCTCCACAATATCAATTATTCTCACACCCTCCTCACCTCACTGCAGCTTCACCACCACACCACAATAGGTCCCCCTTCATATATAAGTAGTAGTTTATATATATATATATATGTATATTATAATATAATAGTCCACTTTTTGTTTATTTGTGTGCCTGCTCCTCCTTCAGGGCCCTTTCAACATTGCCTACAGAACACTTTCGCACATTTGCCCCCTTGATAGGGAAGTGTTCTAGGGTATTCAGGACACATTCAGGAGTGTATATGAAGAGATTCCACCACTTGTTTGACCCCCTGAAGCGCCCTACATCAATAGATATAGCATATATATAGGAAAATACAAAATATGCTCCCATGTATTTATTTCCAGATGGATATACTTGGAAAAATTATCCCCTGCATACATCAAACAGTAGGAACAATGCATCAGAAGGCCAGGACCATAGGACAAGACCCTGTGATGCAGTATACCTACCCTCTCCTGATGATTTACCCCCTGTGAAATTTTTTCCTGCAGGACCGGACCTCAATAATGCTAGGGGGTCTATTTATATGCATATTTAGAAAACATGTATCACCCATCTACTCCAGGATACCTACAGGAACATAAACATAGAAAATCGCATTTTTGACATTTTTGATGTTTTTCAGTATCTTACCCTTGCATACATGATCCACCCTGCTCATATATCATCAGTGGTACATATATAAATGCATTTTATGCCAAGGATCAGCTAAAAATATGCCGGAGGTTTGAGTTGGTGTATACACTTGCTATTTCTACTGATAAGGGGCCCACACCTTCGAAGCATCAGCATCTAATAATCAGACACCTGGAATATGTCTCCCATATGTCCCTAATCATAGTTCCCAAGTTTCAGAAAGATCCATGAAGTATTGAGGACTGGGGAAGTGAAATAGATAAAGAATTGAGTGTGGGAAAATTTAAATGTCCCAAACATCGAAAATGGTCAGTTGAGAAGAGCCCCTTCAGTGACAAATCCCGTACTATATGGGTCACCTGACCTACATAATATCCCGTGTAATACGGGCCAGCGTATTATAAGCCGATGTTATGTATATTCCCGATGTTGACTGGGTGGGCCCATCTATGCTGATGTTATATATATCATCGACGATGGCGGATGGGCCTGGGAGAAATATTATTATGGAGATGGGTGGGCCCATGTGGGTAATATGTAGAGTAGGATTGACATATATTATAGACCTGAGGAGAGATGTATAGCAAATATTATTATATAGACGGGTGGGCCGACATATTAGTATTATTTTGTAGACAGATGGGCCGAGGGAGCGGTGGAATATTTATTACATAGATGGGTGGGCTGACATAGGGAAATATTAGATAGACGGGTGGGCCGACGTGGGGTATTTTACTTAGACGGGTGGGCTGACGTGGGGTATTATTAGGTAGACAGGGTGGGCCGAGGGTGAGGTGAATTATTTATTAGATAGACGGGTGGGCCGAGGGTGAGGTGAAATATTTATTAGATAGACGGGTGGGCCAAGGGTGAGGTGAAATATTTATTATATAGACGGGTGGGCCGACGTGGGTTAATATTAGATAGACGGGTGGGCCAAGGGTGAGGTGAATTATTTATTACATAGATGGGTGGGCCAACGTAGGGAAATATTACATAGACGGGTGGGCCGAAGTTGGGAATTTTACCTAGACGGGTGGGCTGATGTCGGGTAATATTAGACAGACGGGTGGGCCCAGATACGTATCATATAGACAGATAGGCCTAGGTATTGGTATACTATATCCATGAAAGCACTGAAAGAGAACCAGAGAGCTGCCTTGTGTCGACTCAGACTCAGCGACGAGTGATACTAATAAGATCACAGTCGTGTTTCACCACAGTGCTCGTCAATCGAAACATCTTCGTCGAGTAGATAGATACCAGAAAGCCTGAATACACCATGTCTGACATTCACCAAGTAACGAGTACCGAGTACTGAACCCTGAAACCCGAAACCCGAGCCCTGAACACCCAGACTGGAGACTCGAGAGAGACTCAACTTGAAATTCAAACCTCAACTGGAAACTCATACATTTTTACGAGTTTCAAGTCGAGTACCAACACCTGACACCCGAGTACTGAGTACCGAATCTCGGGTGTTGGTACTCGGTACTCAGTGATTCGAGTCTCGGGATTCAAGATTCGAGTGTCGAGTTTCGAGTTGAGTACCAACACCTGACACCCGAGTACCAAGTACCAAGTACTGAGTACCGACACCCGAGATTTGGTACTCGGTACTCAGTGATTCGAGTCTCGGGATTCAAAACTCAGATTTATGCGAGTTTCGAGTTTCAAGATTCAAGATTCGAGTTTCGAGTTTCGAGTTTCGAGTCAAGTACCAACACCCGACACCCGAGTACCAAGTACCAAGTACCGACCCGACCA